GGGGGAGCTGCTTCCACAATTACTGCCCATGACACCCAACCCAACGATATGCGTATGCACTTATTTGCCGCTAGAGCCTTTCTTGGACGAGGTGCACCCCGTCCCCCCATTCGCCTATGATCATAGCCAAGTGACGGGCGCCAGGGGGTAGATAGTTGGTGGGACACAGGTTTGTTGCGTGAAAACAGTTAATGCTACTTGCTATGATGCACACCATCTTGAAAGCACCGAAAGTATCATTCGCTGCTACTTTGCCTTTCCGACCAGCTATCCTCAGGGGAAAATACTGTATGTCAGGTAAACCACGATATTTACCATCCGAGCTAGACAACACAGGCACCGATATTGCTGGCGTGGTTTGCACGACGAATTTCAAGGTTGGGGCGGGAAAACATACACAGCAGAAGCGCTCTACATACATTCAATACTCTAGAGCTCCGAATAAAAAATAGTCATGCATCGGCAGTAGTAGACTATCACCTTGCACTGGATCTGCTTCCTTTCAGTGGTCCGCCTTCTCGTGGATGGCGCTTTCTTCGACCCGGGTGGTTGCGGGAAATCCGTCTCGACGTGTGCCCAGCTGCCAGGAATAGACCGATGACCCGGATGGTACACAACATACGTCTGAGTCTCGCCTAAGCGCATCAACAGCGGCACCCCATGCTCCTCTGCAGTCGCTGCCATCCTTAGAATAGTGTCAAAGCTACCCTGAGTCAAAATCATCTGGGTTATCGCTGCATCCCCAACGCTTTCGATCCCTTCCCCATCCTTGCCAAAGACAACCGGCTCTGCTTCAGGAATATCCGCCTTCGGAGTGGTCCCATTTCCGAGAATGACGTCAGCGTGCTCACATTGGCCCGCTGCAACCTGCTCGGCGTTTGGCGCGTGCTCGGGTTCCGCTTGCACACTGCAAAACCAAACAAAAGCAACCGTGAAAGTGACAGTGCATCGTCAGAAAAATATATATATGCCGATTAATTTCTGATAAATTTAGCGAGCAGCAACTGTCGAAAAATAAAATGAGAATGCAGAACGGCCGGGCCCCTACCTGTGCCCTGCAAATGTCTTTCTTTTTCCAAACGAGTTATACAAGCGTTGGGTTGCAACAATAACGTGTAGTTTCGATCGGAGGTTTGCCGGTGAGAAGGAAGAGTATCGAACACCACACAAGCACTGTTGTTTCGTGACATCCCCCAACTACTACATCGACTCACTTGTGGCATCGATTATCGCAGCAGTTCACGATGCAGCTTGCAGGCGCACCAGGTTGCTCGGCGGTGACGTCGGTGATGACCATGACACGGTCGCCGCGGGCGGTAGTGGAGACCGAAAACAGTGCCTTTTGTCTATCTCTAGAGTTGCGCGCCGCCACCGTGAGAGGCAGACGGAGCTTGAAAGCGCTGGTTCGAGCCTGGCGGTGAACCACTCGGGACACGCTACTCCCGTGGATGTGGCCGGCTTGAGCTCGTTGGGATGCCGCTCGCTTATCAGCTTTGTTCTTCTTGCACCTGTATGAGTACGAAGCATGTGATGGTGGGAAGAATAGAGGGGGGGGAAATGAGTATACGTACAGCACGCACGCTGAGAGCAGGTCGTATTGTGGACGCTCCGGTCTTGTTCGCACTGCGAGAGGGTGAAGACCTAACAAACACCGATGGTCAAGCAACCAGAAAAGTTGGAGTCGATACAGATCACCAGCAACATTCCCGGAGCAACTAGGTGAAAACAGGTGACAGCCTACCAGGCTGCGCGAGCGCTGTGGAAGTCAAGATATTGTTGCATATTCCTCTCAAACAAACCACATGGGTGGCATCGAATCGGGTGACACCCACGTGTGCGAGAAGCATCCGAGAACTCGATTTGGCACATCACTCTTGGTCACATAATTTAAGAGAATTGCAATTGAGCAAAGAAACTGAACAGCGGAAAACGATATTGGGTACTCACGCGTGACACAGACATGCCGACTTCGTCTTCGTATCGCAGAAGCAGCAAATGAAGCGATCCTTGGTAAGGTCGATCAGCCCATGGTCGACGTGGCAATGCCATCGTTTGAGACACCCACGACAAATCGAAGTAACTGTCTTGCTTTTCGAACAGCACCAGCTGCGCTTCGCCAACGTAGCATTAGCAGGCACGATGACAGGGACGGGCTTTCCGCTGGAGGCATCCTTTGCCTCCCCCCCCCCCTCCTCGTCTTCCTCCTCATGACCGCCTGTCCCTGAGCCATGCGGTGCGCCATGCTGCAAAACCAGATGTAAATCATGGCCGTTCAGGGCGTCACCGACGATGCCACCTGCCGTCCTCTGCTGCACAGGCAACGGCAGCGGCGGAAGTGGCTGACGTACCCGTCTATCCCGCTGCGGCTGAAACACCGCCCCGCCAGCTGCGCCCTGCTGCGCCATCAAAAGCCGTGGCGGCGGCCGGGGCGGCGGCCATACCCCTCCAAAGCAACCGGCGGCTGACAGCTGTTGCTGTTGCTGCTGTTGCTGCTGCTGCTGCTGCTGCTGCTGCTGCTGCTGCGGTCGCCACGGCACTTCGTTGGCTAGGCGCTGCCATGGTGGCAACATTGCTCCAAGTTGGCGTGAGCGTTCATAGTTTAGCTGCGCTACTCCCTCTACCTCCGAATGTAGTAGTGGTGCACTCGGCCCGTGCGTACCGGTAGAGCAGTATCCCGGTCCCGTATGTACCCCAATGGCAGACGACAGGGGCGTATGTGGTTCCGCGAATTCGAAACCATCACCTGATAGCTCCCCTGGCGTCCCCAAGGCCTCCGATGCTTGGGACATCTGCACAGCTGTAGCAAGGAACGAGTGCAGCACCCTGCCGCGACGTTCACCGGCCCCGAAGCCCTCGCATGAATTTCTTGCATCTCGTCCCAAACTCCGCCGGGATGATGGGCTTTGCGACGCGTGGCGTTTCGCTGGTGGTGATTCACGTCCACTCACACTTCTGCGAGCCGCTCCGATAGCCGCAGGAGTGTCGCAAGGAAATGTGTTCGCGACGGTGGCTACACCGCCAGGCGCGCCGCTGACCGACAGATGGGAATTGCCCGACGGCTCGCTACCGGAAGAGGTCGCTGTCCGTTCTCGAGGAGGGTTTTGCTGCAAGAAGTTGGAACTCTCTCCAGTGTTCGCGCATGGGGCTGCGGGCAAGGGGTGCGACAACGGCTTGTGCTGGCGACCAGCCGCACCATCCACGCAGTCATCCGCGCCTGCATCATGATCAGCATCATGATGCGCGCCGCCAGCAGAGCGCGTGCTCGGCAGCATGCCGCTCACCTCCTTGCATCAACGACTGACCGCTGCTGTGGTGGCCAACGGTGGAAGCCACGCTATGCAATGCTCTCTCTAGAGGCTACGTGTCGATAAGGTAGCACGGCCGCCCTGTCCGTCCTTCACAGCACGCGCACCTCGTGCGCGGCGTGCGGAGAAATGTAGCTACAGCGCCGGGGTTTCCCCACCCCAGGAGAGCTTTGTGAATAGAACCAAAAAGAGGTTCACCGAGGGAGCGCGCGCACGCGCATCTCCAACCAATGAGGAGACAGTAAATTTAGAAGTAAAGATCCCTTCGCACGGATGGTAAAATGTACTGGACCGAGAGTCGAGCGTCAAGAGAGCGGGTCAGGTGCGGCGTAACCTCCAAAGAACCAGGTTCAGGGCTGAGCATGGTGGTACCCTTCATGATCCACGGCGCCCCGGATAGGCTACCTGACCGGCCGCCTTGCGCATCTCCCTGCTGTTCCCGGCTTGCCTTGCACGATCGGAGAGAGCACGTAAACCTGCTGGCACCGCTTGCCAAGGAACATCACACATGAAACATGCTGCGGCAGCGGCGGTGGCTTTTATTGTCCGTCTAGGATGCATTTCGGTTGCTTCTTGCGAGTCCAATCAAGATCCAACAACAGCAGCGGAGATACCGCCTCCCTGCGCGGTAGCCGTATCCATCTCAGGCGATGTGAGGTCCTTCGTAGACCCTGTCCTCCACCGGTCCTTTCGGCGGCACGTAGTGGAGGCGATCAAAGCAGAAGGTTGCACCGTTGACGTATTCGTGTACGCGTCGCTGGGGGATGAGGACTTGCTCGTGGAACAGGTGTGTGTGTGTTGTAGCGGAATCTCCGTTTGCATGCGGTGTGGGCGCGAACCCGTCGTCCATTGCACATACGTAGCGTACTGCTACAGCACCAAATGCACACTCCTCTTTGGTGATGAAGCTGGGACAAAGCACTACTTCAGCGTAGATGAAACCCGACAAATCATCTTTGGAATACTACATATCATGTGGTTGTGGATCCAATCGTCGGTGTGCTGTTGGGGAGGGCTCGGATAGCGCGCATTGCGTAAGCACGGACTGCTGTGGAAAGGTATGTCATCAGCTTTCAAAATTGACTGATAATGCATATTGGAAGGGCCAATTTTTGCTGCGCACGAAGAATCTCCCCCGGCGACCTTCACAATGGGTTGGTAGATTGTGAGGCTGTGAGCAAGGGGCCCAACAGGCACAAGATCGAAATCAATCTTGTCGAACTGTAGTCTACACTTTTGAACGTCAGGCTTTGTAAGACAATAATGGAGACCCACAGGTTCCTAGATCTTACAGTCGCCAATCGAAAACATAGAGTGTTAAGGCTGACTTGTAGCATAGTGGATATGCTGTACATCTACTGAACATTGACCAATACTGGCTATATGCTAACATTTCCATAACATAGAGAGACCAGCGATATCTCAAATGATTTATTGCATAACTTGATCGCGAGAGATCTCTCTTGGAAAAATACGGATATTTAGCACGTTGTGATGGCATCCCCCACCTCACCTGCTTCATTGTCCTAGCGCCAGTGCAGGATACAAAGCTATGCCCACGAAAACACGGGCCGAGGTTGGTGGCTGGTAATTGGATGGGCTTGAGGGAGACGACATGAAGAAACTCGGTGCTGTCTCGAATAGCTTTCAAAATGAAATCTGCCCGAGCCACGAACGTAGTCTAGGCATCGCAGGTGCCAGCACGGACCCACCTGGGCGTGACCGGGAGAACGACGAGATGCTGCGAGAAGAACCAAAACTGCATGTAGACAAGAGCCCCGATCCTAAGGGTGGATCGCTGATGGCAAACGCGAAGATCGTCGTATCCTCTGTCCTGAAAAACAGCCGATGTCATGCGCTCCAAAGTTTGGCTGTCTTATGAAACCTGTTAGACACTCAGAACAATCGGGGAGGTTTGGACACAAGCGAACTGAGGCGATGTTTTTTCTGCGTGTGTTTCAGCTATCTTTACAAGAACCGCACGCGTTGCATAAAATTTGAGTCCATTTACTCAGCCTGAAGGTTGGATATTGGGCAGGGGCATGCAAGGACGAGTTGTCCCACACAAGTCTTTGGCAGAATAACTCCAAGCTAATATCTCTGAGCATGGATGGATAGCTCCCGATGTGCAATCGTGGTAAAGGCAGAGCTTAGCAAGTCCTTGACAAGCAGATTAACTTGTCGAAACCACGGTGTGAAAGGTCGTACGATATAGGTGACGACACGTTGTTTACCTTCCGTCGCAAACACAGGATGCTGAAACGATCAGAAACATCGAGGCTACGATGGAATTCCTGTCACCGACCCAACTAGTGTGGCACCAGGAGCAAGCAGGGATCATCCCCAACTCCTGCCGCCCCACGGCTACAACCCCAACGACCGGGGGCGGAGACGAGGCACAACCCTCGTCGTTCGCTGAGAGTAGCGTCCCAAACGCGAGGCCCACAGGTGGAAACGTCGGCGGCGATAACAGATCGAACCAGCCGCGCGGGCACGCTAGCAAGGAGCCGTCCAAGCCGCCGTCCAGGGAACAGTTCAGCACTCGGAGCGAACGCTTCTACTGGCAGCTGTACGAGTCGCTGGCTGCGTACCGCTTGGCGGTCCAGAGAGAGGACGAAAAAGAGAAAGAGGCAGCGACGATCCCGACATCCTCACCGGCGTCGTCAAAGTACGACTGGATAGTTACCACTCGCTTCGATGTGGCCTGGAAAAAGAGTTTGCCTTCCTTTAGGGCCTTCTCTCGGGACGTGGTGTGGTTCGCAGCGAAGTCCTGGTGAGCCAGTTGTGGTGAACAAGTATCCTGAATCGGCGTCGATCGGTGTCCATGTTATCAACTTTATCTATACTATAGTATCGGAGAATATTCGGTGGCCAAACATCTAATTGTGCGTCGGAAGTGTGTCCTCGCGAAATGCGCGCTAAGTGGCGTTGCCTGAAAAGGGGCTCTAGATACAAAGTTTGGCGGGTTCCAAGCGCCGGTTCATGGGCCACTCTCACAGACATCTCGTTTACCTTACACAGCGTGACGACAGGATGTATTAACTCGGTTTATCGATCTGATGGATGTCCAGCAGACGTTTGGTTCGACCGGTTCCACACACAGGAGCGCTGTTCAGCCACAACACCGGCTGACCCGAAACGACCCAGCCTGCCTTTCACCCCCCTTACCTTGTGAACAACCGTCGTCGCCACCACCGCAGGCCGATGTCCACCAACTTCGCGCTCGTACCTCGGGCCTTCTCCGACCGGTTCTTCTCCGCCGTCGAGGCGTTTCACGCATGTGACGACGGCAACGGCCCCTCATGGCCGCCGGGGGAGGCCTGGTGGCAACCCGATTGCGGCGAACACGGACAAGAAAACGGAAACAGCAGCGGCAATGTCCACAGCGGTGGGAACCTTCACCACAGCCCCAGGAGTGGGCCTGCAGGCGGGGGCGGGGGTTTCGAGCTCAGGGGTTCGGATGATGGCAGTATTTTCCACGACAACAGAGGAGGGGGTCGCGGGGAAGGTTTTGGGGAGAGCATCGTGTACCGACACCTTCACGCCTCCGGCGTGCCGTACCGACCATACCCGATGTTCGAGTACTACACGGTGCCACCATACGTCCGTGATGGTGATGCCGATGGTGATGCGGCGGGAGACACACGGAGTGGGTGCGAGACAAGCACACCGGACTACTTCACTGGATGCGTTCTGTTGGGCACGGTGGGGTTGTTTTCTCAGGCGTATACCAGGTGGGCTTCAGGATAGTTAAACTTGCACCGGTTTGGGACATTGCGTGGAAGCATGTAGTTTAGATGGGCAGAGCGGTACCTGTGAAGGCCAGGTACATCTCAACGCCCGTTGCTATGCTGCCGCAGCAGAGCTACACATAAAAAATCCCCGCCTTCTTCGTTCTGACTTTGTACCACAAGTTTGAACATGTGCTCCGCGCTCAAGTCCAACACATGACACCGTAACCAGCGTCATGTGCATAGCTCTCTGATCTTGCAAAACAAGGCGCAAAAGACGCCAAAAGTAAGCAAGAACCAGCACCCCTACATTGCAACTAACGACGGAGACGAGGCGTAAGAAACTCCAGTAGGCAATAAATGCTGACACCATGTGTCTCCTTTTTCGCTGCGTGCCGGCGCTCTATGCCCCGCGTCCGTTCAACCCTGCCGAACGACCCACAGCGAAGAGTGCGCCACCGCACTGTCGGAATGGTCCAGCTTGCATTGCCGGACCTCCACGCACCTCGAGGCTACCGGCCCGGGCCACCAGACCGAAAGGGGTTCAGAAAATCTCGACCCAGATCTGACAACATGGCCAAGATCCTCCGTTGGAGTTTACCCAGACGAGACTGAGACGGACAACGGTGACGTGCTTGGAGCAGCGGAGGCGGATCGGGTGCAGGAGGAAGACCTGCGGCGCGCCTGGTTCAACCTGGCCGCCCTTCGAGACGCGGTTATCGTTGCCGCTGATGACGGTAGCGAGGAGGTGATGCACGGCTCCTCCAACGCCGGAGAAGAGGACACTCCGAGCGGAGAAACGTCTCGGCGAAATCTCGGGAAGGAAGACGGCGGTGACCACGACGCGGCGCCTAAACCGTCCGGTTCAAGTCCCACGAGACAAACCAATCGTTCCTGGTCGGTACACTCCCAGGGGGGCTGTCGACTAAACGAGGTGAGGTTCGGAGAAGGGGGGTGGGCGTGTTTCGATAGCTGACTAACTCGTTTTGGTCGTATCCTTCTCGATTTCCGCTGAGGAGGAAATTCGAACAACCTCGTGGGGTCCTCGATTTGGCAGGGCTAACAATATACTGCCCTACCCCCCCCCCCCGCGGGTTGACACTCGCTGAATTTTCAGTACCCTGGGCGAGCCCCACATATCATCCGGCACTCTTCCACCGACTCCCACCGCATGAGAGAGCTAGCGCTTGCAACAAAATGCCTGGCGCACCGGTTCATTGAAGGGGCGACTGCGTGGTCAAGTGTCAACGAGGATTTCGGCTTCGACGCCACAGTATGCGCATCCAGCAGGTGAAGTTTGTTGCACAGATTTCCACGCAATGGGTCCGCACTAGCGTGGTACAAAATAGATAATTTAGCTTCGTCATCGTTGAGTATTGCTTGAGTGCAACGACGTCCCCGGCTATGGGACAACGTGGGGAAGATTGGGCTGACGCCAAAGGAGGGATGTAGACGACAGCAACTGATTTTCCTTGGGAACCATTAGCTTCGGTACCTTTCTCGATGTCCCGTAAAGGCGGGCTACTCAAAATGAACCAGGAATCCGAGGTCGTGACGCCGGCCCGCTCCCCTCATTTCGTTGGGAAACTACTAACATGCTGCCACCCGCGCATGTCGTCTTGTAAACACGTCGCGGTCGTACACCCCAACCCCGTCCGTACAATCCAATGCGGCTCTACGTGTTCGGAAACCGATATGACTGGGTGCTGGGCATATGCTGCGCCATCTCTCTAGCTTGTAGTAGCACCTGTACCATTCTCCCTGCGCCCAGCACAAATAATTATACATGAGCTGCGTGCTTTCTGCTTCAATTGCGTGCGCCGCCGTTCTTGTTACGATGCGTTTCAGATCACTGGAGCTGGTAATGATTGACGTTTCGCTTCACTCGGCAGAGGTACGTGCGGCACAACCAAGGCTCATAGATCTGGTTGATAGACATGAGCGTTGCATGCATGCGTATGAAGAACACGATAGTTTCCGGAGGCTCTTCGGTGCCTCATGTGCATCCCAACGGGAAAAACAACATCGAGAAATTTTGTTGCCCCACTTTGGAGAAGGGTCCCAGAAAATATCCCCAGGATATAGAATTTGTTTTCTGAAGTTGTTGTTGCTGCTTTTATCTTCACGTGAAGATCTCTCTGAATATGGTCCGGTACCTCTTGTCTTCTTTACATGTGAAGACAACAAGCCAAATTTTCGTGGTCACAAGCTGTCCCTAAACCAGGTACATAGATAGGCAGAAAATAGTCTTGACTTAATTCGCGAAACTTGTGTGTTGCGGTATTGCTTGTTGGCGTTCTAGATGTACTAATATCCTTCCAATATATCGTCGTTTCTACCCCTGGTTCCCGCCGCAAACGTATTCCATCTGGATCACACGCCACCAAATCCTGTTTAGCTCGGCGTCTGTACCGCGGACGGAAGAGCGGGCCTTACCGATGCGGAACACATCACGAGGTTTTTCGCGGATCCCGCCGCGCATTGCGTAGGATATGGCAGATTGGTGCTACCACCTCCCCCGGACCCTTGCCCGAAGTTAATGGTGAGGAGAACGTGGTTGGGCGAAGTCTTCACTGTTAAACCTACATTGAGTGGGTAGTCCTGTTCTGATGCTAGGGTTTTTCCCTCGATATGTTGGTAACTAAGGGCAGACTTGAGGATAAGTCTCAGGTGCTGAGCGCAGCAGCATCCCGTTTGGGTCATCACTTGGTTGTTTTGGTATCCATGTGCAATTTGCACAGAGGTCACAGGAGAGTGAGGGCAGTCGCCCATTTATACCTTGGGGACCGTTTTCGTCACCGTGGCTAGATCAGAAGAGAACGGGATCTTCGAGCGGCTCCGGTTTGGCCCGAGCACACGTTTTGGGTTTCCACACTAGAGAGGGGGGGTTCATGCACTAGAAGACTTGCGAGCTGTGATACCCTGCCGCAATCCCGATTCGAAGATCTCCTCGACTTTGTTCTCACCCTAAAGCTTTCCTGGTGGTACCCCCGCTCACTTTTTGGCTGGGTCATCACACCGATCTAATCCCAGCATCAACTTGCTCTTTTGCACGCTGCGGTTTTGACGAACGGAAAACCAGGTGCAGGCGATGGAAGTGACACACCCAAAAGAGGGAGCCGTGTACTGGGAGGGTCCGGTCAACGTGGACCTTGAGGTCACCTTGAGCGGTGAGAGAACAGCATACGAGGCGGCTGCCACGAGGGGGGGGGGGGTTGTCGCAAAAACCACCGCTAAGAGAGGGAGCTTGGTCCGGTCAATGTGCATTCTGCAGGAGGAGACGCCTATCGCTGCTGTCTGTAGGGTGGTAGTGACGGCCAGAGAAGCGGGTACGAAGGGCATGGTTAGCAACAGGGTAAGGATATTGTCAATGTTTGAGTTTGGCTGAAGGATGAGGATAGAGATAGAGATAGAGATGGAACCAGGTCCGAGTCGTTGGGGCTAGGCTACGAATCAGAAACTAACCGCTATTTCGACGACCACCAAGTGTGGCCAGCTCTTCGCGTGTCTAGCAATGAATGTGGTCAGAGTGTTGTCAACTCGGGGCCTGTTGTGACAGGCCTTGGGACTCAGGCTCGTAGGACAATAGAGTTGTTAGGCTAGGTCTTGCTGTCGCATGTGGACACGATGCATGGGCGATTACTCGCGTGTTGTCGTCTGCGCTGGAAGCAGGGACCGGCGTGGAAGGTCTGGACATTAGCAACGTGCACGTTTGCGCCGACACCGACATATCGTGGCCGCTGCTGGACAGGAGTCGGTCCTGCGTCTCCTTGCAGCAACTCGTGAGTTCGATGGCAGATGAGAACGGCCGTCCGCTTGAAGGCAGTTGTTGCCCATATTACCTTTCTTTGCGTTTTCTTTGGCAGCCTTTGTTTCGACCTTTTTATGGCAAATTTTGGCGAGCCTCGAACTATACTATCCTATATCGCATTCGTTGCATTAACGATTTAGGGAACACGGAGACTCCTGTTCAAGACGATACATTCGAGAGACCGGGCTAGCACATTGAGACAAGGAAAGCTCGTCACTCAGCCCGTAACGCTGCTTCTTCTGTAGTGTACCGTAGAAACGGCGTTGAATGAGGACTTGGCACAGTCAAGAGGTCACAGAAAAAAGCGACAGTGCGGAAGGAAAGCGAAGCAAACGTCAAGGAGGTGGATGTTGGGTGCTTTTTGTCGACTCACGGTGTTGTCGTTCTTTTTATCGTCGACGCCTTGACAAATCAACTGAAACCCGCTTTCTTCCTATCAAAACTTGCAGATGTCCTTTCCCCTCCCTACCCAACACGCCCTACATCGACGGCCGCCGCTATCTTGTGTCCGGCTCTATGGCAGGGATCGCTTAGGGATCCTCGCAACAAACCGCGTAACTGATTGGTACCGATTTTTTCTAACCCCCCCCTTAATCTCCTAAATACAAGGCCTCTTCCGATCAAGACAAGCCATATCTAGTTTTCGGCACCGCGATTGGAGTTGTGGAGGGGACCGTCAGCATTCGGGACGCTCGACCCACTTGTACACCTCCCGGTGACCTACGGGGCCCCGTCTTGGCGATGGAGAAAAATCCTCAAGAGTTCGCTTCAACGTCCATGCGGTTTAAGGTAGGGTTTGTGTTGAATGCGCATATGGACAGCGTTCAGTCTAGGAAGCCGCCACAATGAATAAATGTTTTCTTCGGTAGGCTTTCATCAGATGGCGTCCAAGTTGTTTGTTGTTTTCGTTCGAGACACGTGAAAACACTTGAAAACACGCAGTGTGCGCTTACGAACTACTACATTAGTTTAGTCACCACGACCGCAGCATGCTGTGTTTTGAAGTTGAGGAGGTATCCCGCGAATCGCATCTGCACCACCAGACAAGATTTTCCGCTTAACCATCGCGTACCGCAGGGTGCATACCGACCATTTGAGGCTTTGCTTCTCCCCCAAAATTCATGAGGAGCTAATCCATGTACCAAGAGACAGAGTTCTTCCGTTGCAGGTAATTCACCATGAGAGCATGTTTCGCCGTCGGGGCAAGCCGCTCGGACCCGCTCCGTTCGGTAGAGGCTTCGCCACGACCCAGGAATACATCCAAGAGCTAGAGAGAGAGGCAGACGAAGAGCTTGGGTGAGTTGAGAGTGTGAGGGGGACTAAACGCACGTGTGAACCACACCATGAGACGAGTTCAGCCCGCGACGCGGGTATGATAGTCGCATAAAAGGGTCACATGATTGGGTTTAGCCTTATGAGAGTCTATCGAGAAGACTAAGAAAAGAAAAATGGTAGCAAATTGCGCAAATATATATGAGTGAGAGAGGTATAACGTGCGTTTTTCCTTTGTGTTGCTGAAAGTTAAGAGTACATGCTTGAGCAATGCTCCAACCTGTTCAGTTTATGGGTCGAATGGGTGACTTCAACCCAACCGCTACCCTCCGTAAGCTAACGGTGACAGCACCCTTTCGGCGAGATGGAGAGATACTCGGGCGTTGACCTGCACCTTGGTGCAAGACGCGAAAGCTGCGAGGAACCTCAATGCTGGCACTACGCCTACCCCAGAAAGAAAGCTACAGTAGCTCCCTTACCGTGCATGTCGCCGCTTTCGACAAGATGGAGAGCTTCTCGACACATCACAACCCTTTCTGCTCTCCAACGACACCACAATACTGCAGACGAGACGGAGAGCCGCTTCAAACTTCCCTGCCCTCTACTGTTTGAGTATTTGGTTTGGGAGCGCCCCATGACACGATAACATAGTATTTTTACACCCATCTACTCTTTCTACGCTACCCGACGTTGACAGCGAGCGGTACTTGCAGCGAGGCGGGGAGAGTACTACCCCTATCCCATCCTACCCTTGCTTTGCGCAACATGGCCAGCAACGTCCGGACCGAGATATATTACCTCTACTCAAACCTCGACACTGCACCCTACACCAAGTACCCGTCGGGCCCTCGCGCAAAAGCTATCGCTAGCTCGGCCTGACCTCCTACATTCCCCAAACCCTTACAGCTAAGGCCCGATCCCTTGCATTTATTCTTCCCACTTGTACTCGCAAGCCGCCATCCCTTGCCTTCGCTTAGTCTTTAAAGCGTGCGCGCAACCGCTTGTCTTCCCCCTAACACCCTCGGCAGCGCCGCTTTGGACGCGACGGAACACTTCATAAACACCACGCATGCCCCCGTGGTGCAGACGGGCAAACAACTGTGTTCCTCGAGGCTAGTTCTCAAAGACCGAGTCACGTCGCTGTTTGCTTCCGCCTTTCAGCTAGAGTTTCACATTGATCAGGTGGGAGAGGGACCGAGTTCGGATACTACAGGCTTACTTAGCGTTCAGGGTTTCGTATTGAGTGGGGTAGGGATTGGGTCATGTTGTTGGTTGTCTGGTCTGCAGTAGTTTCGCCCCTCTTCTCCAGGAGCTCGGAAATACACAATCTCATGCTTTTGTTACCTGCAAACACCCCGACGAAAGAAGAAGTGATTGTGCCGCAACCGTACCGCGCTGTTCGTGCGCTTCCTTCGCCCCCGCTTAAACCCCTCTTTTCCGTCGAACGGTTGGTCGCTTCTTTCATGTTCCGCGGGCTTGCGGCGTGGTGGTGCGTCTCCTCCGCTGCACCCTCCAAACCCAAAGATCTCGTGGATGCTTTCTACAGGGAGGCTGCCGCCGGAGATGGCCTACGCAATTGATCGACTCAAAGAGGTACGAAACGTACCTACGTGGGCACAGCTACGAGGAGTGGTCACGAACCGCACCTTGAACCAATTTTTAAATGAGGACCGATGCTTGGGCTGACCTACCTGTCCGGTGTCAACATATCTCCCCTATTTAGGTGAAAGCCTTGTATCCGAGCAATTCGGCCGGTGAAGACGTTCCGGGAGTAGTTCTTTGTCTCGGACCCAGCTGGAGACCAATTGGGTCATTTTTCCAGAAGGCTCTGGTGCTGCCGGTGCCATCGGCGGACAACGTGGCCTCGCTCTCCCCGCTACAAACATGGGAGTACGATGAGATACCTTGGATGGAGGTGCGCAAACTGGTCTTGTTTCTATTGATATTGCTGCTGCTGGTGTTTGGATGAGAGTTGATTTCATACACGAAAGCAATATTTGCTCGATACAACAACCTAAGTAGACCGACCCTGAAGCATTCCTATATGAGCACGAAAGGTGTCGGCAAGTCCAAGCACATTCAAACATCGAAAATGGCGTGCTGAAGCACCACAAACAGGACACTAAGAATTAGACACAACGAAGAAAAACAAGAGTTGGTGCTGAATGCCAACGCTACCTGGCGGGTGATCACAAGCTTTTCACCCATACTCGCGAACAGTTCAAGCCTACCACTCTTGTCGCCCACACTGCTGTGGCTTCTGTTCAGCTGCCAGCTTGTCGACAGGACCAAGTTTCGTCCCGCTCAACCACCGAACACAGAATGAACCATGCAACAACATTCTTTCCTCAACAAATCGGACTCCCATGAAAAATATACGTGTTTCCCACGATATTACACATCAATTGAAATATTGAAATGCAGGCCCTGAATCCTAACGTCGACTGGAACGCGGTGGAGGAGGCGTATCTTGGCAACGGTCCGGTGGAAATCGTGCATATCGACGGGTTCTTCTCACAGAAAGCGCTAGCCGCCTTGCTCGACATAGCCCACGGATCGAGCATCTTCGTCGACGTCAGGTATATACCTTGCGGATCACGGGAACGAAACTCGAAAATCCAACCGCCCTCCTTGTATCCAAAATGTTTTCCAGGAAGAGACCAAGAATGAAGTAATAGTCACATCTCGCCTTGCGAGAGTCGGGCATGTTGACCTTCAACAGGCCCGGTAGGCTACAGAGTAGTAGGCCAGAGAAGAGAAACACTCGAGTTGGACTCTCGCCATCCGAAGCGGGCGAGCCAACGAAGTTTCAAAAGACAGGGTCGGGGACCAGGCAATCGTTCAACGAAAACTTGTGCCACGTTGGAGAGGGGCCGCAAATGGCACCAAGTGTTCCGGCCTGGCCCTGCTTGCTTAGTAGGGACCCAACCACCGAGGTGTTGATGCTGAAAAATCATGGCAGTCATAAATCAAAACAATACGAAGGTGTACCGATTCTGGTAAAAGTCAATTGACGGATACCCTGCGAATTGGGTCCCTCCACCCACAGAATTTACCCTCAACTGGGAACCTCTTGTGGCCATAGATTATTTGTAGGGTCGACTCCAGGAGGTGTTCTCAGGACTGACATGTCCAAGTCAGAGGGAAAATGTGCACCCAAGGAGACTCGAACTAGTATCCAGCCACTGACGCCACGTGCGAAGGTGTACCGATTCTGGTAAATAGTCAACCGATGGATACCCTGCGAATCATGTCCTCCTTAACAACAACCGATTTTTCGTTTTTCTCTGAAGGGAAAATTACCTGGGGGCCTACCTCGGCGAAGGCATGAGTCATCCTCTCCTCTACCAGATCGCCGAAGAAGTGGCGGTTCGCCTTCCGAGGTAAAGCTCGAAGAAGAAATCGTTTACAGTGGTGAAGACCCGGTCGTCGTCGACGTTGTCGCTGTTGCTGCGTTCACACTACATAGTCACCGCTCTAACCTCCTTGCTCAATATCACTTGCCGTCCTACAGAAGTATCGCAATCTAGTCCGACGGAGAAGAACACGAAAACAACTAGAGACGATATGAAGAAGAAAAGAAGTTTGGGTAGAGGCACACGGACCAATAATATACTACAAACGAATCTAACGACGCAACCAAAGCAAGGGCGGCACCACGGTTCAGTGTAGCAGTCCTCTTTCCAATCACCATACTTACATCAAAGGATCCATTTACGATGGAGGCCAGGCCAGAACAAAAGTTTGCGAAATTGCCAAAAAATCTCGTGGAACGGAGTATTTAGAACAACTGTTAGCGGCGGATGGTTTACTCATTTGCGGGTTTCGTCGGTCACACAATCAGGATCCTGGGACGCGACACTCCCGGCTGGCCGCTGGCGCAGACGTGGTTCTACATCTACGGAGGGAACGATGGAGAAAGATGCACGCGTGGCATAAGGGTAAGAGAAACATCCCGAACACAGATGGAGTCGAAAAAGTATGGCCTCCGTGCGTCATGCCTCCGTGCGTCATTTCTTGAGGTGGTACTGCAGCAACAGGTGCCAATTTGAATGGATGCAGGGGGCGTAGCGCGCGGACGGAACCTAGCGCGTGACAAAGGTCAATGATCAGAAGGTTAAGGTTGTGCACACACGGCTGCTGGCCATGCCACAGCGCAGGCTTGGGTTGACGATAGCCCAGGCTTCGTGTGTTCACTTGGAAAAACCTGCCTTGCCTACTGCGAAATTGGGAAACTCCATGTACTTTTAAGGTTCACGCGTCTAGTACACTCAGCCAAGCCAGTAGCCGTACACACCAGACGGCCCTAATATACTTCACCCCGATGTCGACACGGCGGCGTTCTTGCCGGTGCCAGGTGCATGCCGACACCGCAGAAATCAACTTAAACATTTGGCTGACGGACGACTCCGCCAACCTGGGCAGCGTCGAGACGGACGATGGCGGAGGTCTGACGGTGTTCCACGCCAAGCCTCCAGGTGTGAAGAGTGACTTTGTGTTCACGATGATGGCGAAAGTGATGGCCATACAGTTGGAGTCAATCCGCAAACCGAGGCAACCCCTGAGCAAGGACCAGTCCGAGGCGGGAGTTTGATCTTGGCCACAGAACTCGAAACTCATTAGTACCAAGCAGAAGCTTGTTTCCCACAGAGTTAAGGCGGGGCGGGCCGTCCTTCTCTCACGAAGTAGAAAGGGACGTCCACCCAGAAAACCAGGGACTAGCGAAGACAATCGGAATCCATCCTACGAGCGAGCGACGGAAGGGTCGATAAAGCGGCACTTCTACCTCCATCATACCTCAATTTTCGACACAGACCGACGCACGCACAACCACATACGATCCAACACGGTTTCAATACGGTTTCAATACGGTTTCACAACAACACTGGGGATCCAATCCAATCATCTTGAGCCCCAAGACCTGCTTCGAAGAAATGAGGAGCTGAGAGTTACAGAATCGACAACAGTCACACTATTGCACCCCCCCCCCTAAATCCCCCGCCCCCTCTCCCCCTATCTCATGCCCGGCCGTCCCTTGTTTGATTCCCACCAACCACCCGTGAACCTTGATTGAATGTGGCGTTTTTCCTCCTGGCAGGCGACTGGGGCTTCCAAGAGTTTAACCAAGAACCCGACGCCATCCAAGCCTTCCTTGAAGAAAACGACGCCGGGAACACTTCAGTCCCATATCGGCAGAACCGCGCCCTTATGTTCGACTCCATGCTGTTTCATCAGAGCGACCCCTTCCGCTTCAAGAAAGGTATTTTTCGGCTTGCGGCAAGGCTGCTCACGTATTTTGGCAGCATGCACATCCGAGAGAAGGAACACACTATCGTCGCACAAGAGTAATGAAATACGGACCCACAAGCAGCGGCGAATATAGAAGCCTTGTCGAAACTTCTTTGAAATTTCATAGTTCTCGTGATAGAACAAAACACGGGTGCAAAGACAAGGGGACATGTTCCTGTAAACGATATAAATCGATGTTCAAGGAAATTAAGGACGGAATTCTTGGAAAAGCACAAGAAATGTTGAAGGAGGGTCGGAGAAGAGGCGAAGGCGAAGGTGAGGTACTACAAGTATATTAACAATGCTAGATGACCTCAGACAGACTGAGATGTAGAAGAAGAAATGGGCTAATTAGTTATGAAGCACCAAAAATATTTACAAATGAGGTGTGTTAGGCGGAATGCTTCTGACCAATTTGTCGATAATGGTGTGTTTTTTTGTCTACTCTGAACCTTGCGAGAATATTCTTTGGGCCGTTCCTCGCGATCTATGATGATACTGTTGTCGTCCTGTACTCAATCCTCCTCTGAACCGGATTCGTCACAATTTAGTCTAGAGGTTTGGGTTCTGGCTCCAGGAAAATCTCTGGTTCGTTGGTAGTCATCCCGTCCTCCTCACGTCCTTGAGCAAGTGCGATGTCCATGTTGTCAAGAACTACTGTATTTCCTTCGTAGAGCTGCTGTCTTGATGTCGCCAATTTGTTATGTGGTGTCTTCTTATGATGATGCCTGTGACACGTCTTCCTTCCTTGATACGACGTCATTCCCGTGCGACGACGTATGTACTGTATCTGCCTTTTCACAATATCTACACGTACTTTTGGTCGATCTCCGATGTTTTGTACCATCGACCGTTGGTTTTCTATCCGGCTCGAGGCAAGAGCTTAGTTGGTATATCCGCGCGACATCCAGACACATGACAAAGAAGCATGATGCTTCCAATATCCACATACATATTGTCGTAACATCCAGTACGGCAGGGTCAGGACCTCAGTTGTGTTCTTGAAGGTGTTTCCAGCACTTTTAAAGCTACTGTTGGATATGAATGCCGATAAATCCCATTGCGCAGCAATTCCAGTTCCGACGATTTTCCTATATTTGTAAGCTGAGCCTTCATTATTACTGGTTCAGCTGTCTTCACCTTGTACAACCACCGTGATCCGATCGATTTCGCTGTTGAAGGTAGACTGCTCATCGTTACCAGAGCCACCACATCCGGTCCTTATGACCTTCCATCTCCTTGCCCATTGCCTCTTTCCACTATTCGACGTCTACCGATCTCATTGCTTATTTATTTGTGCTTGGTGTTGGTATATATGCAGGTCGACGAACTGGTTGCTGTGGTGATGGTGATATCATACGCATGCCTCGCGCCCCCCCACGGTACCGGGCGCTTCATTTCCATTTGGGAGGCAGTCTTGATGAGTAGGTTCCATGTGATGAGCAGTTTTCTTGTCACTCCTTGGTTCTGAACGACGAGTGTTCTCCTTCCTGTCGTTATCTGAGGATGATGATATCTGGTGCTGATATCGGTGATGATGATGATGATGATGATGATGGGGCTGATGATGAACAAACAAAGCATCCTCATCCGAAGATGCTGACCAAGTTCCAACCCGGTGTCTTGAAAAACGTCGCCATCTTTTCCAAATTGGAGACCACCATCCTCGATATTCTCCCCCTCGTTCTTACATGTCGTCAAGTCTGTAGATGAACGAGAGGGAGAACAAAAAATATGACGCCGGCATATATATCAACCACACAGCGCTATCCCCGACGCTGAATTCTCGCGCATCGACACGGTCACCCCATTGTGGGACCTGCACTATGCATACTTGTAGTCAGAAAATTACGTCAACCGCGACAAAGCTGGATAAAGTGCAGGTAGTCTACTGGGTATAGCTACAACAGTAAACACTCTTTTTCAAATCACGATACGCCCGCCTTTTGTTTATTTTCTCTGCCCAAACGTCCAAACGAACGACGGGAAGGTTTCAAAAATCGGCGGCTGAACCTCACGCTTCTGTTCGGGCGCCGAGGAGAGTTATTTCCTGCGCCGGGACACGAGAAGAAGAAGGGCACCGGTGCAGCCGAGATCGAGGTACTTCACAAGGAACATCGCGAGGTGGCACCTTGGGAAGCAAGTCAACTGCGGTACTGCATATAACACCGATGATGACGTGATGGAGCACCTTGCGTTTCTTCGTCCCGTTTGCGTGTAAACCTTCGATGGGGGCAGAATACCAATGGCATGCAAACACACCCCAGAATTCGGTTTTTGTCCCATGAGAAGGTAGGTCATTGGATTAGGCAGCCTCTACCTAGAATTGCCAGGGAAAAGAACCTTTGTTTGAGCTATAGACTGTGGCCGTACAACGGGTGGTACTGAATGAAAACGAGTTCACATTTTTGACGGGGTATATCGCAGAGACGTATGCCACGTATGATGTCTACAAGGAGATACGGGCTGATTTGAGAACGTAAGAACAATGTAGCAGCCCTTACTTATTGACATCCCTGGTCGGGGTCCTGACAATAAGAATAGACTAGCCTCTTTGCTTGGACCTGCGTATACGTATGTCGTAGCAGGAGGACATTCAAATATTTGTTGGTTATTAAAATTTAGCTCCGGTTACCATTCGAAGCGCGCGAAATACCCTTCAGAATGGGGTAAACCATATGGAGACGAACAGCGTTCCCCGGTCTCAGCGAAGCCCCTCCAAGCCGGAGTTCGTGCCACGGAGCAACCGAGCCCGGTTTCGTGTTGGGATGACTAATAATCATGCAGCCGGTTGCCCCGGTGGTCTACAGTAGTGGCAACCTCGAAACCGCTAGTGGCACAGTCGTGAGTTCGAATCCCCATCGGGTGAAAAATTACAACTTTGCGGGGGAAAGCGAAAAAAAGCTGGAGAGCTCTCGTGAGTACCAAACTTCGACGTTGGCACCGTCGACGAGGGAAAGGGACGGCTGGACCCTTCTCGCGATAACAACAAAAAATGCAGCACGCACCGCAGGAGGAAGGTGGGGCACGAAAAAAAATTGAAAACAACAAAAAATAAAAAGCCCAGATGTTTACCCCCCTCTTGTGTGACCCTGGATGGTTGTAGTTGTACGAAAAATACATTGAAAAGTGTGGTACTCTATTATAATACATACACTGAAAGTGAAGTACACGGCTCACCACGAAAAATGGGGGGGCTGTCGCCATAATAGATAGGACGAAAACATACACACACACATGCTGACGAACGGCCCAGCATGCCGGTGTGACGAGCATCCTGGGACAAGCAAGCGTGACCAATCGCTGCCATCGGTCAAGTAAAAACAAAATCCCTACAGTTTCCCCGAGACGGCCGGAGCTGTCTCCATTACAGGTCGAATAGGTTTATGCCCCTGTTCATGTTTCATGCCTGCTCTCTAGACATGTAACACTTGGAGAACAAGCGCTTCGTTGTACATAGCAGGTCGTCCGACTGACCCTCGTCGTACAAGCTATGAACCGGGAGACACAACGTCGATCTGTTTGTCCCAGCAAGGTCGCATCAACGGCGTTCACGTCGACTTCGCCGACAGAGGACCATGAAAAGACCGTACAAAAAAAAATAAAAAAACACGAGCCTTCCCAACGTTCGAGCACTCATGGCCTCGCAACACCTACATACTCGGCCCCCCTCTTCTATTACACTCACGTCGCGACGAGGCTTTCATGAGGTTCGCCACTGAGGTCCCGTTCAGTCAATCTAGTGGAATAACACTGACCGGGAAGAAAGCGAGGTATCAAAATGAACTAGGTAAAAATACAGGAGTCTCCTGAGAGGGAGTCAATGCGAAGCCCCGAAAAACACCGTACTTTAGAAGATCCTCCCACGTCATAATGTCCAACGCAAATGGATCGTCCAAACCACCCTACCCACCGAAAGCCTATATGGTGCCTCGCATGCATCAGTGTTCCGAGACTGGTGCTGCCCTCGGCGTCGTCACACCCAAAGGGTAAACAAAGCACGCAACAAGTTCAACATTACTTGCAATAACAAGGGCACCACCATTCGCCCACCACGACCATACCAACGACCACGGCCCCCAACACGCCTCTTGATCTATTAGTATCCCCACCACAAACAATACAGGAGTGGAGAACGCGCTGATATACCGTCGTTGAGGACCTGGTCCTCAAAAAAGCGGTATGCACCCATGAAACAAATAACGTGGTTTGTCATTGTTTGCGACGCTTGCACCATCGTCTCGCTCTCCGCGGTGCAGGAGATTCCGCTCGCAATACCGCGCTATGTACCCCACATGCTTCGAAAATGTTGGAGTTCAAGATTGCTCGGCCGGCTCGGAAGCATAAAGTGACCGTTGGTAGAGGAGCGCCCAGACGCAATTCAGGGGTACCATACCGCAAGAGGGACTACAGTAGTGGTGAAGCACCTCGGTAAAGCCACAACCCACTGTAGCATCACAAGAGAAATCTCCGTCTGGATCTGACACATTTTCCACGACAAGGAATCACACATCCAAGACGACGATGGCCTCTTTGAACGAAACACCGTCAACTATGGTGCCGTTCGCGAGACCTGCAAACACAACATATAAATCGTTCATTTGGCCCGTTGTTGCGCAGCAGCTCCAAGGTGGGCGGCAGAGAAGACCAGATTAATAGACATCAAACACAACCGCAGGCACACGCACACATGTTCAGGTTGGCCCACAGGCAAACTTCGGTGTCGCGCGAACGCGAGGAATACACCCGTCCCGGTCAACGCCAGCCCTTGTCGTTGACATGCTTGGGACTGCAAAGCACAAACCCTCACTCCAGTAACAACGACCATCCCTCTGGCCTAGGCAGAAGCCCAAGAGCATCATCCCGACAACGGAACACCGGTCCTACGACCGAGGTACGACACAAGAGCTGAGGTCACTGGTCGTCGCTGAGGTGCAACTCCTGAGCGAAGAGTTGCTTTACTAGCCCGATTGGCGAGTGTAGGCGAGGATAATCGCCTCCTCGGTGAGTACATTCCGAAGAGCCACATTGGCAACGGCAGTGTCGTCATCGCCAATTCTTCCCCCCCAGGCACACACAGGCAGTGAAGTGCCCTCGGCCGATGGTCTCGCCCCGGTGGTGTACAACTCCGTTGAGGCCGTAGAGGGCGGGTTCTGTGGATTATGTAGAACAAGAACGCGGCGAGGTAAAGAATGTTGAAGCGTAGAGACGAAGATGGTTCGATTGTTAGATGATCCGAGGATTACAGTGACGTAGAGCACGGTGTGAGGTGACAACTAGCTTATTGTAAAAGGGCCGCACCGACAAGTTGTGGTGTTCACTTATGTGTAGCCTGACGCACTGCACCACAAAGGTCTGCACGAGATACCGGTACATATATATCATGGGGGGATCTTATGCCATGTACAGCCAGAATAGTCTTCTTATGTTCCGAATACAACAATGGGCACGGAACTCGTGCCGGCGTGCGTGAACTATTTCGACGACAACAGCAACCAACAACAACAACAGCAACAGCAACAACCATCTACACATCCGATTACTTTTCTTATCTTGTACCTCCGCCGTGTCGGGCTTAGCGGTGACAGGCGCCGGGTCAATCGTCTCAAGGGGATTTCAAAGTTCTTCGTCAATCTCCTCTCGCCGGCGGCGAGATATGCGTGACGCCCAGAAGCATATCTCGCAACCG